GAAGTGTTCTACAACAAAGCCAAAGGCAGAATAGATGTTGATAAATTATGCAGCAACTATGATGTCACAAAACATTGATGAATGGTTTAGTTTTACTCTATCCTAAATATGTGTGGTATAAACAGTTTGGTAGTTTACGAAGAAAGTAATGAGTGAGACTGGATGTGGTGGCGTGTGCCTGTAATCCCAGCTTTGGGAGGCTGAACACAGGTGGATCACTACCAGTCCAATCTACATAGTGAGACCCTGTAGACCCTTACTAAAAAATAAAAATAAAAAATAAAGAAAAGAAAGTACCAAGTGAGAAATACCACAAAGACATTTTCTTAGAGGACTGAGACTGGAACTCATGAGAAATCATTTAGAGCAGAGGAAAAGCTATGCAAAAAAATTGTGGATCACACTGATTATCTGATAGGTAAACAGGCTGGTGGAGCATCTCGAAGACCTACTATGACAACAGGAAATCCAAAAAGATGTCAACTGTGCTCTACAAGAAAGGAAAGGAAAACAAGACATGCTTGCTCAGTGTAAATGATATTTGTGTTTGCGACATACACGGTTTGTGTGTGTGAAGACAGCCTTGGGTGTGACAATGGAAGGAAAGATTCTTCCTATGGGAGACCTTTGTTTGTGTTTACATTTTAGCTCACATAGATTTCCTATTTCTGACATCATCATCATCATCATCATCATCATCATCATCATCATCATCATCATCATCATTTTGTACTGGGCAATGAACTCAGGACCTTGCACTTGCCAGTCCAATGAACTATATCCCCAGCCTCCATTTCTAAGGTTTTGTAAGCAAGCGCACAGCTGATACAAAAATGTTGGTGTCTACTCTAAGCACAGATTACATGTCTGATATTTTATTTTATTGACATGTTATTTTCTCATTACTCAGGTCTGATAATTGAAGTAAAGATTTTTTTGTAGAGTGTTATTGGCATTTTCAATACAGTTCATATAGGAATTTATTTCTGATGTGACCTTTTAGGTTTTTTTTTAAATTTTTTTCCCCAAAGTTTTATTGATAAACAGATAGCAATGAGACAGTTTCAAATCAAATCGGAAGTACAGTTTCAACAAATAATACACTGCATATATTCTTCTTAGTGGTTAATTGCTGTACAAGATGCGGACTTGTGATCCTATTTACAAACACCATTAGAACAAATCATTCTATTCATTAAGAGAATGCAACTATATATCTATCCCAACCACTTTGAATACACAGATACAAAATGGACATTCATCAGTATACCCCATTTTTTCTAAGTTCCGTTATTGAATATTATAGGTGTGTACCTTTTAGGTTTGTAAGCAAGTACACAGGTGATATGGAAATACTGGTATTTATTCAAATGTGCAATGCATATTAAAATTTAATGCTTTATTGATATTTTATGTTCTTGTTATCTACACAATGCATAAGAACCTCCTGAAAAAAATAGCAGGATAAGCCACATGTCAAGTATGTTCTACAAAAAGGCCAGGAAAGCAAAACACGTGTGCAGTCAGCCTAAGTGATATGTGTGTGTGGAACGTGCTGTTGTCATGTGTGAAGACTGCCTTAGGTGTGATAACTAAAGTGAAACTTATTTTTGTTGTAGAGTGCTGTGATGGATTAACTAATGGTGGACTTGTAACATCCAGATGACCTGAATCAGTACTGTTCTTGACATGGAAGGCACACCTGAGGATTGTTGCCAATAGACTAAAAGCAGAACTGGAGGGCAGCTGGTATGCTGTTGATTTTCCTGGAGAAGCTTGTTACGTTGCCTGTCCTGACAGAACCTCAGCTGTCTGCATTATTGGAGGAGTTGGGTCGCCAATGTTGCTGAAAATGACTGAGGTTCTCTCTGGGGAAGCTCTGGTCCTTACCTTGAGCATCATTTCCTGGTTCCAGTGCAGTTTTCTCAGCTTGCTGCTGCAGACTTGCTAGCTTTCACCACCAACCTTCAGGCCTTCCTACTGTAGATCCTTGATACAGGCTTGCATGAGACATTGTTGTGGGCTCTAGGTCTCCAGCTGGACTCATGCAGGACATTGTCGCCAGACCCAAGCCCTCATCTGGACTCTGGCTCTCTAGTGTGTGGACAGATCTCCCATACTCCTTTGCATTTGACTCCCAGGGTGAGTATTATATAATAATCCTATAAATTATGTGTCCTCTATTAAATCTTTTCCCTTGAAAACTCTGACTATAACAAGTGCTATTTGGTAGTTTCATTTTAGTTCATATAGGAATTTATTTCTGTTGTTCTTTTTTAGACTTTTACACCAAAGACCAGTCAATATTGAAATTTTTTTTTTGGCAGAACCAGAGATTGAACTTAGGCCTTTGCACTTCCCAGGCAAGTGCTTATTCTACTGAGCCATCTCCCCAGCTCCCCAAATTTTTGATATTTTATAAATAATATATAAAAAATAAATAATATACAATAAAAATGAAATACTTATTTAAAAACCCCCCAAGACAAAAAAACTAAAAGACTGTGCCTATAATCCTAGTGCTTGGGAGGCTGAAAACAGGAGAATCTCTGAGTCCGATCTGTGTAGTGTGACCCCATAGACCCTGTACTAAATACATTTAAAAAAGAAAAACAAGAAATACTTTATGCTTGTAATTTTTTTTGCTGTTAACCACTCATTGTTTAATATAATAAAACTCATGAAATTAAAATTAATAATTCAGCTATAGAAATATTAAGAATAAATGTAGGTGTGACACATATGGTTATGTCTTTTTAAAAAAATATTTATTTATTTTTAAATTATTTATCTGATACATGGTCCTGCTATGTAGCTCAGACTCATAGCAATCTACCTGTTTTAGCTTCTCCAGCTCTAGGATTACAGGTATGCACCACCACCCCTGGTTTTGGGCTGGCACGATGCCCCTGGGATTCTGGGGATTGATTGAACTTGGGTCCTTGCCAGGCAGGTGCTTAGATCACTGAGCCATCTCCTCAGCCCTGGTCATGTCGTTTTATGACAAAAAGTGTTAGGCTCTGAGTTAAACTTTGTTAAAAGTGGGTTGGGATTATAGCTCAGTGGCTTAAGTGCCTGGGTGGCAAGTGCAAGGCCTCGAGTTTGATACCCAGTACTGCAAAGAAAGAAAGAAAAAAAAAAACTATGTTAAAAGTTTGGGGGCAGGACAGGTAGCTCATGGGGCTGGAGAAGATAGCTTAGCAGCATAAGCACCTGACTGGAAAGCACAAAGTCCTAAGTTTGATTCTCAGAACTAAAGCAGAAAAAAAAAAAGTAAAAACCCTATTTTGGCCTGGGAGTATGGCTCAGTGGCACAGTGCCTGCCTGGCATGTGTGAAGTTGTGAGTACGATTCCCAGTACCAAAAGACAAAAGAAAATAAACAAAACTTCGCCTTGGCCAGTGACCATAATCTTAAATACTGCAGATGCTGATACTGGTATGGTAGAGCCTAGGTGTTTGAGCCCACCCCTCTTATCCATAGCCAGCATAGATTCAATGTAAGTAATTGAATCTTATGCCTGCCTTCCTGAGATGGTCATTATAAAGTGCTGTTGTTTTTTTACTGTTTTAAATCTGGCTGATGTTTTTTCAGTTGCTACCTAGCCCAGCTACTGGAGGCTGGGGAAACTTGCTTCAGGACTTGTCCTTTCTTTCTGCCTGGCACCTGTGACAGCTCAGTAGAACCCTTTAATTGCAGAGATCTCTGTGTCATTTGGATTTAACAGTGTTTAGGAGGATTCCTTTTTAGTAGGCTGGGGAATGGAAGAAGAAAAGGATATGTTACAGAAACGTCTTTGTTCACGGATTAATTACGTCTTGGGAGAAAGGGAGCTGGTCTTTGTGAAGGCTGCTTTTTTGGCTTGAACCAGTTGTTTCTGAGACTGTGTCAGTGACACTTGCCACACCTACGTGGGGAAGCAGATGAATCAGAACTGCATGAAAAATACACCTCTGTGCTTCTGTTTGTGTGGCACTGAGGACTGAGTTACCTGCCCCTTTGCTGAGACAGGGTCTTGCAAAATTCCTAAATTGTCCAGGCTGTGCTTGCATTGTGAGCCGCCTTACAGTGCTGGGATTACAGGTTTGGGCCACAACGCCTGGGGTGTAGTTCTGCAATGTCCTTTTGCAGAAGAAATTCACATCAATAAAATAAACCTATATAATACATGAGCAAAGTCTGTTACCAGGTGGAGGGTTGAT